CTACCTTCTTCCATCCTTTCTGTTCTAACCATGTCTCCATTAGTACTATCACTTCCAACTATTTAATCGTCTCCCAGAAGTCCTCGTCTTTGTTTCTGATCCCCGCGCAGTTCCAGAATCCTATCTCCCACCCCTCTTTTTCTCCCCCAACCCTTGCGGTCATCCCCTTTCTCTTCCCTCCCTTCTCTTCCTATCCTTTTCTCTGTCCTCTTCTTTTTCTTCTGTTCCTTTTCTTCTTCTCTTGCCTCCACCTTCCTTCTCCACCTCCCGTTTGCTTTTTCCCTGCTTCCTCTCCACTTCCCTTTATCTCTCTTATCCCTCATTCCCCTTCCCCCTTGCTGGATGGACCCTCGTTGTTTTCGTGTCACCCTTTCCCTCCCCAATCTTTCAGAGTTTCCCTTTCCTCGTCCCACCTCCACCATTTTCCTACAATTCTGATTCTCGCATAGTCCACCCATACATATTTTCCTTTTTCTCCTTCCTCCTTTGCTATCCTTCTTAACTTCCATTGTACCCTCCTCTGCCTCCATGTCACGTCCTCTTCTATTTTTTCATGCCTGCCCTTCAGGGCCTTCTTCTTCTCCATCACGTTTCTTTTGTGTTCCATTGACCTCAGTCTCAGCTGCACCATGTTTACTTTCTTCCCCCCTTCTGCGTACCCTACTGGTTTCATCTCCTCTATCGCGTCCTGTACTCCTATCGCTTTCAGTAACTCTTCTGCTCTCCCCTTCATCTCTTCTCTCTTCACTTTTATCCCTTTAATTATTATGTTTTTCTCCTTCCCTTCCTTTCCTCTTTTCCTTCCTTTCCTCTTTTTCCTTCCACTCCCATTTCCTCTCTAAATCTCTTAGTTTTTCTTTTACTGCCTCGTCTCCGCTCTCCTCCTTTCTTTTCTCTGCTGCTCCCCTCTTCAGACTATGTATTTTCTCTTTTAACATTCTCCACTTAGTGTTTCCCTTTTCCCCTCCTTCAAGTTCCTCCATTTTTTAAATTAGCATTTCCATTTTCTTTTCCAGGTCTCTCCTTTGTTCCAACCATTTGTCCTCTCGGTTCTTCATTTCCTCTTTCAGCTTTCCTATTTCTCCTTTTATTCCTACTATCTCCTCCCTCATTTCTTTCCCAAATGACCTTGCGCTTGCTTCAATCCTCTCTCCCAGACCTTTATGGCCTTCTTCTAGCTTTTTTATCATCTCCTTTAGTTCCCCGATTTTCTCCTTTTTCTTATCAGGGGACCTCTCCACTAGACTACTTCCTCTGAACTAGATCCACCCCTCTGTTTGAGGACTGCCACCCCCTCCTCTTTCCCTCTCCTCCTCTAGTTCCGTTTCTCTCTTCCTTTTCCAGATTTCCTCTATGCTGGTCGCTCAGGCTCTTTTCTTTCTTTAATGCCTCTACGTTGGTCAGCCTGCCTCGTCTTACCCCTTTGTCTACTTTTCCTTCGGCCGTTTTCCTCTTCTCCTTCGTTTCTTCCTTCCTTTGCTGCCAGGTGTCTCTCTTTGCTCCTGCCTCTTCCTTGTCCCCGGGCATTCCTTATGCTCACCGGTTTGCTCTCCTGTCTCCTAGACGTCTCTTCCTACTCTCTCCTTCCTCGCGTTGCCATGCTTTCTTAGCCTCTATCTCCTCTTAACATCACAAGAGTGGGCCCACTTTCTTCCAATCTTCTTCTTACTCTCACTGTTTTCACTTTATTCTACACTACCACCTTCCCCCCCCCCCCCCCCCCCCCCCCCTTTCCGCTCACTGTATCTGCTATCCTTGACCTTCGCTTGTCTACTTTTCCGCCCTTTTCACTCTTTGATCTCTCCATTTAGCACGACACACGTCCGTTCGCAACCGTTGCCCGTAAGGGAATCACATTGATGATGGTTATATACTATATTTATTTATTTAACTTCCAACGGCAGGGTGGTCGTCTAATCGTGTCAGCGCAATTAAACAAAGTCGTCTGCGAGGTCGCAACATTCGCAGATAGCTTTCTCCTCTCTTGCCTTCTCGTGCGCTCGATTTTTTTCAGCTTTCCCTCTCTCCGATATTATTTCTGCTGGCAATCCCCCTTTTTTCTTTTTCTTTTAATTCCCGTTCCCTAGGACTTAAGGCGTAATTTTATAAATGAATGGAGAAAGGGTGGGGGGAAGGATAGGTCTATTATTATTATTATTATTATTGGTTGAGGCTAGCCGGGCACTCAGTCCTTGGGGACCATCGTACCCGGGCCGCTAGGCAGCCTCCTTACTGGCTGTGCCTTGGTAGCTGGGCTTCTATTGCCGGCACCAGGCCAGCTGAAATACTTAATGATGAGGGTTCCGAGGTCTCCAGGATTGATCCTCTTAGGGCCCTTAGTTCCCTGCATGTTAGAAGTGCGTGAAGGGGTGTCTCATCCTCCTCCTCACACCTCAGGCATGTCGACTCCTCTGTGAGTCCCATGCGTGCGAGGTGTTTCCTCCTGTACCAGTGTCCTGTCACTAGGCCCACGAGCATGCGCAGCTGCGCCCTGTTCAGGTGAGTTAAGGTGTCACACAGCTTCTATGACGGTCCCTCAAGTAAGGCCCTCGTGTCTCTCATGCCGTTGGCGTTTTGCCAGAGCCTGGTGAATTCCTGGTTCAACCATTCTTTAGCCAGGCCCTTCAACACATAGGTTGAGACGCCAATAGGGTACTCATGGTATGGCTGGGAGCCTGTTGCCCCCAGTCGCGCCAATTCGTTAGCCTGAGATACCAGCGTGGCCTGGCACCCCCATAGCAGCTTGACTCTGTTGTTCAGAGATAGCTGCTTCAGCGTCAGTACACAATCCCTGACTAGCTGAGACCCAATCTCCACTTTGTGAAGGGCTCTAAGCGCAGCAAGGCTGTCACTGCAGATATAAATGTGTTTGCCTGAGTGGGCCCTTTCCAAATTATATTTGGCGCAGGTCCAGATGGCAAATACCTCTGCTTGGAAGACCGTAACGTGGTGGCCCAGCTTGTGGGTCATTTCGACCCTTGGGCTCTCCCCCGCAATCCCGGCTCCTGTGCCAGATCTGGTTTTGAAGCCGTCTGTGAACCAGACCAGCCCCCCCAGAGTCAGAATGCCGTTTGGGTCCTCCAGCCATTTCTCCCTGTCTGGGATGATTAAGTCGTATTCGCGTCTGAATAGGTACTTCGTCTTGCAGCGGTCTCCACCGGAGGTCAGAATTAACTCCGATCCCAGATCCCTCAGGACCTCGGTGTGCCCGCCGCTCGCCGCGGACCATTCTTCAGCTTGATGGAGGCGGATGGCCGCTCTCCAAGCCGTTGCCATCACTATTAGATGGGGTGGCTTGTAATCGAACAGCGCACCCATTGCCATAGTGGGCGTGGTGGGGAGCGCACCTGTTATCCCCAGCAACGCTATTCGGTATATTCTTTCTATAGTCCTTCTGTGTACTCCCCTCTTCATAGAGGTCCACCACACAATCGAGGCGTATGTTATGATGGATTCAAGGATGGCCTGGTATATCCACCTGACCATCCTTGGTTTGAGTCCCCATGCAGGGCCAAACATTCTGCGGCAGGTGCTGATTGCTTCCTGGGTCTGCTTGTTCACATGGTTCTTCCAGGTGAGTTTATTATCTAGTATTACACCTAGATATTTAACTTCATCTGTGAGTTGTAGTTGCGTCCCAAAAAGATGAGGAGCCTTAAAATAAAAGCGTCGTCTCCTTGTGAATAGGACCAACTCCGTTTTGCTCGGGTGAACCGAGAGCGAGTGTGATCTACACCAAGATTCCACGAGTATGATAGCCTTTTGCAATCTCCTCGCTAAATCCAACGGGTGTCTGCCTCTGACCGTAATAGAAAGGTCGTCGGCGTAGCCCTGAACCTCAAAGCCTTCCGTGGTGAGTATACGTATGAGTTCGTCAACCACGAGGGTCCACAGCAGGGGGAACAGGACTCGTCCCTGCGGGCAGCCCCTCGCGACGTCGGCACTCACCGTCTCCTCTCCCAGGTTTGTTGTGGCTGTTCTATTCGTCACCATGTTGTGGATCCATCTTACGACGGAGTCCTTAATATAATATCTCTTCGCGGCTTCCTGTATAGCATTGTGAGGGGTGTTGTCAAACGCCCCCTCGATGTCGAGGAAGATGCAGAGGGCGGATTCACCGTTCGACAGTGCACCTTCAATGTAACCTACCAGTTTATGAAGTGCCGTCTCGGTGGATTTGCCGTTTTGATAGGCGTGTTGAGAGGGGTGCAGCGGTTTGCTGGCCAAAACCTCGTCTCTGACGTACCTATCAACCAGCCCCTCCAGCGATTTAAGCAAGAAAGAGGTGAGGCTGATGGGTCTGTATGACTTGGCAAGGTCGTAATTGTCCCTCCCTGATTTCGGGATGAACACTACTTTGGAGTATCTCCAGGCTTTGGGTACGTAGCCCTTCGCTAGGCAGGATTTGAAGATTTGGCCCAGGCGCCTGTACAGGTCCTCTCCGCCCTCCTGAAGGAGGCTCTTGAATCTTCTGAAGGAGCCCATGGCCCACTTCACCCTGTCCGTGTTTATCACCTTCTCAGCTATTCCCCAGTCCGCTGGAGCGGGGTCGGTGCGCGCGGTATCACTGCGACGCCGCTCCCGACCCTCCGCTACTGAGCCTGGGAAATGTGTTTGAATAAGGTGTTCTAGTGTTTCTCTGTGGTTGTTCGTCAGACTTCCATTTGGAAGTCTGAGACGATCCAACCTTGATGAGGGGCCTATCCAGAAGACCTTCCTTAACCTGGCAACTACAGGTAGTGCCTCGGTTTCTTTGCGGAAGGTCTTCCAGGCCGTCCTCTTGCTGGTACTTATTAACTTTTTGTAAGCTTGCTGGGACCTTTTGTAGTTGTCCCAGGCTGGCTCCGTATTGGCCTTCATGGCTTTATTCAGTAGTTTGCGGGTGTCCTTCCTGGCTTGGTCCAATTTCTTGTTCCACCAGGGGACCCTTTTGCTACTGTTTCTGATTCTGGCCGGGCAGGCAGCCTCGTAGGCTTGAGTAATGGCGGAACTCAGATGCTCTACCGCTTGCTCAATTTCGTCCTGGGACGCTGACAGTACCCCTTCAGCCTTCCTTCCAGGCCCTCTCTATAGAGTGCCCAGTTGGTGGCCTTTGGGTTCCTGTAAGCCTCGCCAGTGCCGCCCTCCCTGTCGCCTGTTAGTTTAAAAGTGATAAGACGGTGGTCCGAGAGTGTGCTCTCGTCCCGTACCTGCCAGTGTTTGATGACCTGTGCCACCTTGGCGGAGCCCAGGGTCAGATCAATCACCTCCTGTCTGCGGGAGGTAACAAAGGTGGGGGAGGAGCCTATGTTAAGGATCTCCAAGCCCGTGGTGACGAGGTACTCCAACAGTGCTGTGCCTCTACCGTTGGTATTTGTACTGCCCCATACGGTGTGGTGCGAGTTGGCATCGCAGCCGATCACCAGGTGCAGACCATTGACAGCACAGTGATCCACCAGTGCCCTGAGTTCCCTCGTAGGTGGAGGGTCCTCAGAGTCGTACGGCAGGTACGCCGAGCATACCACCAGCTCTGACGTATTCCCACCGAGGTTAAGTTTAACCTTAACCGCTGAATGATCAGCTGTACAGAATTCGTTAAGTTTCAGGGCCGCTATCTCCTTCTTGACGAAGATACAGGCCCTGGGCCTTGTGGATGTGGCGTCATAGTAGAGTGAGCCGCACCCCGTGTTTAGCCCTCCTACATGTTCATTGTGGATCCAAGATTCTTGTATGAGGGCTATATCTGTCTGCCCCATCGTTAAGAGGCACAGGAGAATGTCCGTTGCCGCCTTACAATGTTGCAGGTTAATCTACAAGAACCTGGTACCATCTGGCACCTTGTTGGTGTCAGATGTGATCCGGTCTCGCTTGCCCGGAGTAGGTGTGTTATGTTCCCCGCCGGGGCTCATTGCACCTACTTATGAGAGGGGCCCTCTACCGGGGTCCATCAGGGTACGTTGGTTCCCCTTCTGCACTCCCAGAAGCCCGGTCCGTTTTGTCGCCTCCGCCGTGGTCGGCCTTCCCCTTGACATGCCTGCCTTGGGGATGCTCCCACTGGACGGAGGTTACGTTTCAGCGGCCTTCGGTCCTTGGGAGGATCCGGCAGCCGCCATCTCTAAATCTCAGCCTCGGTGCGGGGGGCCAAGGATCAGCCGCTGCCAGCAACCTGGGCTCCCCTTCACCCTTGTCCACGCCGCTCACCCTCTCCTACCCTTCCTCCATCCCCGGGACTGTTGGTCCTGGTTTATTCCCGGCGACTGTTCTGGCGTTATTTGAGTCCTCCGTGGTCCCGGCAGGTCCCTCTCTAAAGAGGGCCCTGCGCAGTCCCACGTGGACCTCAAAGCCTTGCCTCTTAATGAGGCCGTGTGAAGCAGGGTCAACCCCCAGGACGAGAGTTACCGAGTTCGGTCTCTCCTGCTCCACACTCTCCCGTTTCACTACTAAACACACCCCCCACTGAGCTTCACCTTCTTCCACGCTTCCGGGTCCGGTTCCGGGATTTCCCCCTGATTGGCCCTGGTCGCGCCGGAGGAAGGCTCCTCATTGAGGGTTAGCATGTCTAAGGCCGGCAAGGTTGTAACCTCGCCTGCCGCGGACCTGCTCTCCCCACAGACGCCCGTCAGCGGTGTTTCGAAGGCGGTCCCCAAAATTGGGTCCCTTCCCTCCTCAACCGGCCCGCTTCCGGATGGGTTTGTGGTTGTGTTTGCTCCTGTCTTCGTGTCCGTGATTGTCTGCGTGTTATTATTTTCGATTTTGTGTTTGTTTACATCTATGTGTGTCCCACGAGTAGTCAGGAAATATGGGTCCGCCCCTGCAGAGCCCACTTACAGGGGTAAGGCTAGATACAATGGGCGGGCGCCTGGTACCCCAAGGGCATCCTGCGTTCGTGACACCATTACCCCGGTGCCATCCAGCTCTCGGCACAATTGCTTACACCTTAGCTTGGGGAGGTGGTCCGCGACGGGGCTTTAGTTCCCCTCCAAGGGTTTTTAGGCCCTCAGGGATCCCTTATAGCACCCGTTGGCCGGGGCACTCCGTAGGCACACCTTCCCCGTATCCCGGTTGCCAGAGGCGAGCCGTTCTACGGTACTCGGGGCCCACTTCATGCACCCAGTCGTCCTCCTATCCGCCACCCCGAGACGCGCTCAGTTGGGGCTCAGTCTGGATCGACCAAAGGCCGTACTGGTTCCCCGCGCCCCTTTCGGGGGTTGGAGCACTCCGAGAAGGGTAGGTCTATGAATGAATTATATCAATAACTTTTTAATACTTTTTTATTATATATGAAAAATTCTTAGAAAAAAAATTTATTGGCTTTATAAATGGTTATAAAAAATACAAAGAAAAATAAACTGAATATGTAGTTAGTTAGTTATTTATTCTGTAATATAATATAATAATACTAACAATTGAAAATAATTAACATAAATGAAATAAAATAAAATAAAATAAAATGAAATAACATAAAATAAGATAATGAATATTCGTGGCGGGCGAGTTCGTGCAGGAATTCGTCCGTGGCGGGCGAGCGGAAGGAGGAGGATCGCCAATCCGGCTATAACAGATAAAATAAAATAAAATATACATTAATACACAAATCTAATAAATCTAATAAATCAAACCAGACAATCAACTTACATCAATTTCGTATCCGAAAAGGTAGCGTAGGTCGAAGACGTCGATGTTCTTACAGTGCTTTCGCACTCCTTCGACCCACAATTTATCCACATCTCTCCGGTTGGCCGCACGCTCCCGACGAACTCTTGCGACGTCCGCCACGTAGACAACTCCCAATTGATTCATTGCACCCACTTTTAACAAAAACAACTAATTAAAAAACAAATAAAATTAACACGCTAAGAGTAATTGTTAAAAAACTACTTACGCTCTGTTTTCAAAAATACGGCCAACGCCTCAAGTTGTAACGATGTGATCTTGCGCGCTATTGTAAATAACGAAAACACGTCGGTGATGCGTTTATCAAACACTGAGAAACATCTCCCTCCAAACCCTAAGACACTCGGCACTTCCAGTATCATGCTGCAAATTCTGAAATTAATCAGCCGTACGACTCTTACAATTCTGAAATTAATCTGTCGAACGACTCGCATGAATTTGCAAGGTTTGTAAGAACTCCGAGTCAGACGTCTCTCTCATGAAATTGCAAGGTTCACAAGAACTCGAAACCCTACAGGCTTATAAAGATACTTGGAAATTAGTAATATTTTACTCGTGGAGCAAAGAATAAATTATGTTTTTACGAATAATTATTTATTTTATAATGTCCCCAAGGCAATGTTCTTGTGGATTGTGGAATTATGAATCGTTTATCATCGTAGGGACTAAGTACCTTCTTTTCTTCACATATAGAATATACATTGTGCAATTTTGAACGAATACATCTCTGTTCACGATGCACTTCTAATCGATCATACAAGCAACGTATATAATCATCGAAGCAAATAGTTTTCCTAATTATGTTACTTTTGACACCCTTCACTTTTTTCGTGTCCCGTTTGCCCTCTACGCGCAAAGCATACATTTTCGACCGAAGTCCGACAAACTCAGTCATTATACACCCATTATTTTCATCCTTCATTAATCCCGGTACTTTTTTATTTACTCGTGGCATACTGTAACGACCCAGAGATAGGTACGTCACTGCACCGACGTATAGGGAGAGCGGTTCCCCAAGAAGGCGACTCGTATGAATGAATTAGGGATTATAGATTCGTGTGGTGTACGGTTGAGGAGTAAAATCCAAACATTAATGTGTTAGACTAAAGATTTATTCAAGTAAGTAAATATCTAATAACTGAATGTAAAATAATAATGCTGGTATAACAATAAGTGCGGGCTAAAATGTGGAATAGATCAGAAAATACAATGAAAAATATATAATTAATAATTAGTATGCGCCTTAATCTATGGATACAGCCAACACTCTGTACAATCACCAACTACGCTAAGTATTGGAAACTATACTTCAGTGGCTTGTACAGTACCCTCAGACACGAGCGGACTTTGCCTACAGGTCGCAATCGGTTTCTGGTCCAGCCAAAGCTATGCTAATACAGGCCTGCTCAAGGAGCTCCGCTCCTCGCTAGCTCTTTACACTTGAATGTGTGACTCAGTATTAGCACGTGTTCAACACGTTGCGTACCATGAGTAGGATGTCCACAGATCCGAAGTTTCGTACGTCACCACTGGAAGAGAAGGATAAAGCTTACTCTTGCGCTCTATAGTTGCCTAAGTAATTCAGCGCAGAGCTTTCCTCTACTACCAGAGTGCTGTCTGTATTCGACCGAAGTCGGAGAAGATCTGATCTGATACCACGTGGAATTCCTCTATTTATAGTCAGATTCTGCTGACTTAGCGCTTTTTTTCAATATAGAATTCCTTTCGATCTCTGGAATTCCCCATCACGTGACGGCCGAGCACCCCTGCTCCCTAATCTACGCGGATCTCCCTACTCTAGATTCTCACCCCACCGCGAGATCATCGGGGTTGCGCTGGCGTATACGTGGTCTCGCGTCGATCAATTATCGATATCGTAATTTACCGACCGACTTACCGACTAGACTTATTTAATAAACTGATTTATCCCTTGAAAATGAAAATTATTTATTACAAAAAAATATATAATACAAATTAAACTAAATATTCATTATAAATTAAGTAAATATTAATAATAAAACTTAAATTAAACATTTTATGTGGAATTTAAATTAAAAATTTGATTATAATAATAAAATAAAAATGGAAAATGATGCTGGCTCTTCTTAGCGGGATGTTACAATACTGTAAACATTGTCCTCGGTATTGTCGCTCGTGTCCATCCGATATATATCGTGTTTCATTACATCGTATATGTCATCACATTCCAGTTCGTATATAAGACTGTCTGTGTCTGTGTATAATATTTTACAAAGACGTTTAAATTTCGGCCAAACATAATAATGATGGAATTCGTACAAACATGTTTTTGATATATCCAGAATACACATACCAACATAAATGGGTTTTCTAAATATAATTTCCAACTTTCGCATCTCTATTGCAACCAAATGTTCCGAAAATATTGATCTGCTATGAAAATTTGGTTTTGCTATCAGGGCCTCGGCGCCGTATCTACCTTCCCATTTTGTAACTAATTTAACGTCTACATGATTTCTAACGTTCTCCATAGTTTTACCAAAGACTGCATTATTCATTAATTTAAATAAGTTCTTTTCAAAATCATTTTTAGCTACAGTTCTAAGTTGCGTGTTTAAATTAATGTATTCGCGAAGCCATGGAGATTGTTGAAATTCTAAAACGCGATGAATTACAGAAACTTTTAAGTTATGATTTAAGCATTGTTGAAGATTGCGGTAATGGATGATGTAACGTTGCTTATCCTGAATTGTAGGGAGTAGTTTCTCATGTTTGGCATTAGGAGGCTTCTCGCGTATTGGACAAAAAGGTAAATCTGCATGCTTATCGTGTAATTCTAGCGGGTATTTCAAATCGACTTCCAAAATATATCCAATGTCCGAATTTTCGGATATCGCATGAATGTTAAAAGTTTTAATTTCATTATCGTCTAACCACTTAAACTCGCCCTAAGGTAGATACTGCGACATTGCCCATCTATACAAATTATTAACGTCGAAATAAACTAAATATCGCGATGGTTCTTCGGAATTGTACGAATCCATGTATTTATTATTGGCCTTTGCGTATCGATTAGAACATTGACTTAGACCACCACGTATGC